GTTCTTTTGTTTACCAGCTGAGCTAATTATTTCTGGACTGTCAGACTCTCCCTAACTTGCCAACTTCTTATCAGTAAGCTACGTGTTTCCGTATCCACCCACATTCCTTCACACTCTTCCCTTTGTTCTCTTGCCAGAAAGGTCAGGCTGCTGGAAAGCAGCTGGCCCGAACTATTTCAAAATGTAACAATTATTTTTCTTAGTTAGTGAGATGTTTTATTTTCTTTATAACAAATAAATGAGTTTTATTAGAAAATATTTCTTCGAGTTTTATTTCAAAATATTGCAACTTGGATAAGCCACGACCCATCCTCTAATTAAATCAGGGTGATTGTCCCAGAGCCAAACATGGGATTAATCAATGCCCTGACATCTGGTAGCAGACAGACGGTTGATTTATGGCTTTTTTCCTTGTTTGTTATTTCCGATAAGAGCGCATAGGCAATTAGTTTTTAGCTACTGAGGTACGCTAATTATTTTTGCTAAGATGCTGAAACAGAAGAAAAAAGGCAAAATGAAACTAAGACCACTCTTTGTAAATGATTTGATTGATCTTTCCAACGAAGAGGTGGCAGGCAGGAGATTTTCAGATTTCCAGCCCCTTGCTACAGCCACACGCCTGGAACAAGAAACCGTGGGAGCAGAAATGGAGGGAGATAAGACAGAAGCTGTTTTTGAAGATAATGAATTGCGACTGAGGTCGGTAGCTTTTTCTTCTCAATTTGCATGCTATGAATCTATCCTCCCGGAGCCCACAGATTACGATGTGCTTGGTGCTAGGCCAAGAAAGTTTCCACAAACTGCCGAGCAAAATTCCTCCCACGCAGAGAGAGAAATAATTCATTATTCTCCTCGCACTCTTGAGCTCACCCTGGATGAGCTGGCTATGAAAGCCTATCGTGACCGTATAAAATTCTATGAACAGGAGCTATCCCAGGCAAAAATGGCTATACCTATACTTGAGCAAGGTAAGGGAGAATCTCGTGACTTCAAATTCTCAAAAAGTGCCATATTGCCTTCTTCTCCGGAGCCAAAGACACTCCCCCTGGTGGATTCTGTGTCAGGCCAATTAAGACAAAGAGCACTGCATACGTCACATGAAAGTCTCCCTGGTCAAGTTACACATAAACCTGCCACGCAGTCATTTCTTGTAACTGGGCTGCCCGAAGCTAAAGGTGCAGCACCATCTGCTGGCGAAAGTAATTTACTACAGGAAGCTGAAATGCCACAAGTGTTTCCACAGGCCCAAACTCCAACACCCCCTGGTGGTGTTGGTGTCTTTTTAGATGGAACACAACCACACTTAATGCAGCAAAGGCAAATGACTGCATCCCCAGCAGGTCATGCCAATATTGCAGCTCAAGCACAAATGGCAACTGGAATACAGCAGATTCCAGTGCGACATCCACAGCAGCTACAAATGCCTGCATATGTGCCCCAGCCACAAGTGCAAATAGGGCCAGCTCCTGGTCCACCTCCAATGGCACAACCAAGACCATTTTTAGGTCCACAACAGGCACAGCAAATACCACAGGCATTTCTGCCAGCACAGCCAGCATACCAAATGCAGGCTCCTTACCAGGCATTTTCTGTCTCTCCACTAACTGATGAGTCAAAACTAAAAATGTCAGGACACAATTATAAAGCCCGGGTCAGTGAGATTACACTATTGCTTCTTAGAGAAGGCACTCACTGTATGGTTTTTAACCCTCCTGCACAACCTTGGACTTTTGTAATAAGAGATTTAGAGATAAGAACTCGCACAACATTATTGATGTCCATGGATACTGAACTGCAGGTCACTTTTCCACCAAATACAACAGCCCGTCAAATTTGGGCTGAATTGGAAAATTGCTACAGGCCTGTCTCAATTGAATCTTCATGTTTACTCATGTCTGAACTCCACGGTTCGAGATTGAGACCTGGTGAACAAATTGGAGGGCATTTGACCAAACTGAAAGGAATCAGAACAGAATTGAGAGAAAGAGGCCATAACATTGAAGATATTCAAATGATCAGCATCATTATTAACTCTTTGAATTATGAATGGAAAGATGCTGTTACAAAAATTAACCAAGTCCCAATTGCTCAACGCACAGTAGACAATGTCTGTAGATTTTTAATTGAAGAAGAGGCATTCATGTTGGCCATGCCACATTTGAGAGGACCACCCGCATCAAGAGCTCCAGCTAGGCGCCCCTTCTGAGGAAGGACCTACGCTCCAAGGATGCCAAGATGCTACACCTGTGATCGTGTGGGACATGCCACCCGGGATTGTCCCCAACGAGTTCCAGCTCCCATCACATACCAGCCCAGAGGAACAGATTCCAAAGGCAGAGGCAGAGGTGGAAGACAAGGTCGTCGTGGTCCCCGGCATGATCCACAAACTCCACTCGCCACATTGGCTTTAACCAATGATCCACAACCTCAACCAGAGTACTACAGACGACTCCTGTGGACTTTGGACAGTGGTGCAGCATTGCATGTTACCTACAGAAAGGAACTTTTCACAGAGATGCACGAGCCTGAACCAGAACTACGTGAACTTTATTCTTTTTCAAATCATCCTTGTCAGGTCAAAGGAAAAGGAACTGTTTATGTTGAAGAGCTCGATGCATTCATTTCTGATGTTTATTACATACCAACAGCAACCAATAACTTACTTAGCCAGAGTCACTTGTCTAGAATATTAAAATTCCAGGTTCACCACCTTGAAAATGCAAGTTACATAGTTAAAGATGGAGATATTGTTGCTGGAACCATATTAATTGGTGGTGTTTATTACTTAAAGCCAAAGCCTAAAACGCAAACACAGGCAAGTATACAAACTCCAAAAAGGGAGAGCACAGGCCCAGAGAGAGATGCTCCAGAGAGAGATCCTGTTGCTATTCCAAAGGGTCCTAAAGCCAACAAAAAGAGAATTGGTAAACAGGTTGCTCAGAGCAAGCCTGAGGTTCCTCATAAAACTGTTAATGTTGAGAATTCACTAACTGGTAAACCTTTGCATTCCAGGTGTATCCACAAATGGCATAGAAGATTGGGACATGCCAGTTTCTGTGTTCTTAGGAAGATGCTGGAGTTCGCAAAAGGTTTGGATCTAAAGGGGTGTAAGGTGTTTTTGGATTGTGCTGTCTGCAAAAAGGGCAAATCCAAAGCAGCAGCCATTCCCAAATGCGCTTCACGCCTGTCAACACGCATTTTTGATTTGGTTCACATTGACATAGTTGGTCCTTTCCCGCCATCATTTGGTGGTAGAAAATATTTTCAAACAATTGTTGATAATTACTCTAGATATGGATATGTATATCCTATGAAAGAAAAATCAGAGACCTTTCAGATCTTTAAAGTCTTTGCAGCCCTTGTTTCTACCCAACACCAAGTTCGCATCGCCAGAATCCAGAGTGATCGTGGTGCCGAATTCATGTCTCAGCGTTTCCAGGACTGGATGCATAAGAATGGAATTATTCATTAGACTTCAGCCCCTGACACACCGGCTCACAACGGAGAGGTACTGCAAACCATGATGCATTGTCTCCTAGAAGACGCCAACCTTGATATGATATACTGGGGTGAAGCTATCAAGTATGCAAATTACATTGTCAACCGTACTTGGAGCAGTGTAACAAATCAGACTCCTTTCTTCATGTTGTATGGCTACAAGCCCGATCTTAAAAACATCCATATTTTTGGTTCATATGCTATGGTGAACATTCCCTTAGCTCAAAGAAGAAAAGGAGGTCCAACAGCAAAGAGACTGAGATTTATGGGTATTGATGATAACTCAAAATGGAGCAGATTTATTGATTCTAAACATGCAATTGTGATTTCCCAATCTGCAAATTTTGAAGAAGATATTGACTGGTCCAGGATTCATTCCAATGATCCTGGAGTTTATTTTCCTAGAGATGATACTGCTGATGCCACGCAGATTGATGATCAAGATTCCACTGATTCTTCTCAACCCAATGTTCCGTCTTCGCAAGCCACGGATGCTGACGCTAGTGACGAAAGTGAGGACGAGGACAAAGAAGAAGACTGGACAGTTGTTCCAAGACGTTCCAAGAGGGTCACAAAAGGAATCCCTCCACAATGATATTCTTGGCAACTGACAAAAGCACCCTTGCCTTTGATTTGCAATGTTACACTTCCACCTGATAATTTCATGCAAATCAAGCAGCTCCCTGATTCAGAGCAAGACAAATGGTATGATGCAATGCAGGTTGAAATGGACAGTCTAAAGAAACTTAAAGTATTTACACCTGCAAAACCTCCAGCAAACAAAAAGGTCATTGGCACTCAATGGGTCTATAGAATCAAAAAGAAACCAAATGGTGAGTCACTGTACAAGGCCAGACTTGTAGCTCAGGGTTTCGCTCAACGTTATCCTGAGGACTACACAAATACTTACTCACCGACAGTCAGAACTGAGAGTGTAAAAATTGCTTTAGCAACTGCAACTATCCTTGGTTTAGAAGTTTTCCAGTTTGATGTTGACACGGCTTATCTACATGTAGACCTAGATGAAGAGATCTACGTGAGAAGTCCTCCAGGATTCCGACAGCAAGAAGGGGATACCTGGTTCCTAAACAAAAGTCTTTATGGTCTGAAACAATCTGGTTTAATGTGGTATTTATGTCTTACTGACAAACTAAATTCAATGGGCTTTATTAAGTCCGAAACTGATGAGTGCGTGTTCACAAAAAGATCTAACGATGCATATGAGATAGTTCTTGTTTATGTTGATGATATTGTTTATATTGGTCCAAATAAGCAAATGAGTGAAATTTTTGCCAAAGCTTTGCAGAGATACTTCACATTGAAATCATTAGGTCACATTAGCACTTATTTAGGTGTTCAGATTGAAAAAACACAGAAGGGGTTTAGTCTTTCACAAGAAGGTAAAATTGAACAAGTTTTGCATCATTGCAACATGAAAGATGCTAACACAACAAAGACACCCATGCAAACAGATTTTCACAACTTGACACAAGAAGCAAGTCCTGAGTTCGAGGATCAAACACTTTATCGTTCAGTCATTGGGTCACTGTTGTACATTAGTAGTTGGATCAGACCCGACATTGCACTTAGTGTTAATTTCTTATCACGACACGTAGGTAAGGCAAAACAGTTTCATTGGACATGTATTAAGAAATTATTGAGATACCTAAAATACACTAAACACATGAAGTTATTGTTAGAACCAACACATACTGATTATGCAGAATTATGTTGTTATGCAGATTCTGATTGGGCAAGTGATAAGAAATCACGTAAAAGTACTTCAGGTTATATGATGTTCTTAAATAGATGTCCTGTTTATTGGCAAGTACGTAAACAGAATTTTGTTTCTTGTTCATCTACTGAAGCTGAATATGCTTGTGTTTCAGATGCATGTAATTCTCTAACTTGGTTTGATGCTTTAGTCACAGATATCTGGACACACCCGATCCGACCAATCACCGTGATGGAAGACAATGAATCAGTGGTTTATATTTCTGAATCTCATTTTACAGGTTCTAGGTCCAGACACATTGACATCCGTTATCAAAACATAAAACATTTAGTGAAAAAAGGTTTTGTTAAAATGCAATATGTATCTACACATGATCAAATTGCTGATATGCTCAACAAACCACTCTCAGCAGCTCAACATGAGTATCTGCGTAAGAAAATGTGCCTTATTTGATGATGTACTGATATTCGCTCAACTGGCAAAAGAAGGGGAATGTCACTGCATTCTTTTATTTACCAGCTGAGCTAATTATTTCTGGACTGTCAGACTCTCCGTAGCTTGCCAACTTCTTATCAGTAAGCTACGTATTTCCGTATCCACCCACATTCCTTCACACACTTCCCTTTTTTCTCTTGCCAGAAAGGTCCGGCTGCTGGAAAGCAGCTGGCCCGAACTATTTCAAAATGTAACAATTATTTTTCTTAGTTAGTGAGATGTTTTATTTTCTTTATAACAAATAAATGAGTTTTATTAGAAAATATTTCTTCGGGTTTTATTTCAGAATATTGCAACTTGGATAAGCCACGACCCATCCTCTAATTAAATCAGGGTGATTGTCCCAGAGCCAAACATGGGATTAATCAATGCCCTGACATGCTTTTAGCTTACAGAATGCTTGTGGAGGTGGGGAGGTTAGAAGAGGCAAAAAAACAGGTAAAAACGGCCCATTGTTAGCCAAAAAATGAGCCATTTTTGCCTGATTTTAGCCTGCAGAATGCTTGTGGAGGGGGGTGGGGGAATGAAAGGAGGCAAAAAACCAGGCAAAAATGGCCCATTTTTCACCTTCACCACCTCCACAAGATAGAGAGAGAGAGACAGAAAGAGAGAGGGAGAGAGAGAAAGAGAGAGGGAGGGAGGGAGAAAAGGAAAGAGAGGGAGAGAGAGAGAGAAAGAAAGAGAAAGAAAAAGAAAGAGTGAAAGGGGGAGAGAGAGAGAAAGAGAGAGGAAAAGAGAAGGAGAGAGAGAGGGAGAGAGAGAGAGGGAGAGAGACGAAAGACAGACAGACAGAGAGACAGAAAGAGAGAGGGAGAGAGAGGGAGAGAAAGAGGAACAATGAAAGAGAGAAAGAGGGGAGAGGGAGAGAGAGGGAGAGAGAGGGGGAGAGACAGACAGAGAGAGGGAGAGGGAGGGAGAGAGACAGACAGAGAGAAAAGAGGGAGAGGGAGAGAGAAGGAGAGAGAGAGAAAGAAAAAAGAAAAAGAGAGGGAGAGAGAGAAGGCAAGAGAGAGATTTCTCAAGTTCCTTGGTGCTAAGAAGAATTGCAGCAAAACTGAGTTTCCTGAAAAGAGGGAGAGGGAGAGAGAAGGAGAGAGAGAAAAAAAAAGAAAAAGAGAGGGAGAGAGAGAAGGCAAGAGACAGAGAGATTTCTCAAGTTCCTTGGGGCTGAGAAGAATTGCAGCAAAACTGAGTTTCCTGAAGTGGACCACTAGACTCCTAAACAACTGAAAAAATGAACTAGTAAAAAGAAAAGGCAACCAAAAGAGCAACATGCAAACAAAAGCAAATAAAACACCCCCAGGAGCAAAGCAAATTTAAGTTTAATTTGTGTGCATTGTTCAATGGACTGTTAAATTGGCCACGTCCACCCAGTCACATGACCTAGCCATGCCCACCTAGTCACATGACCACCTAGCCATGGCCGCCCAGCTGATCCGGCCCCCCAACAGTTTGCGGGACCATGAATTGGCCCCATTTAAAAAGTTTGAGGACCCCTGCCCTAGATGATAGGCTCAAGATCCAGATGGAAGCTAAAACATATGTGAAGAAAAGGACAAGGGTAGACATGATAGCAGTGTTCCTATATTTGGGGGGCTGCCACAAAGAGGAGGGGTCAAGCCATTTCCCAAAGCACCTGAAGGCCAGACAAGGAATAATGGATGGAAACTGATCAATGAGAGATTCAACCTAGAAATAAGGAGAAATTTTCTGACAGTGAGAACAATCAACCTATGGAACAGCTTGCCTTCAGAAGTTGTGGGAGCTTCATCACTGGAAGCTTTCAAGAAGAGATTGGACTGCCATTTGTCAGAAATGGTGTAGTCTCCTGTTTCTGCGGAGGGTTGGACTAGAAGACCTACAAGGTCCCTTCCAACTCTGTTAATCTGTTAAAATAATTGATGATTATTATTAAATCTCCAGCAAAATGCTGTCCTAGACAATCCCTTTTTGTACAAATGTAATTTAGTCCAGTATACTTTCAGTATTATTTTCTGCTGTATAAATTGGTCCATTGACCCACTTGCTATAGAGGTTAAGACACTCTCCCCATTATCTAACCATTTTTGGATTTCTAACTCTTTATTCCATTAATTTCTTAGCATTGATTTATTAGTAGTAAATATATATAGAATATAATAGTAGGTTTTTAGTTTTAAATAGTTTACCAGTTGTTGTAGCACAGGGGTGTCACTCAAGACCCGCAGGGTGCTTAGATCTGGTCTGTGGGGCCACTCTGGAAATAGTGAAGGTCCAGTCCGCGGTGCCTCTGCCAGCAAAAATGGAGCTCAGGAGGGCTGCCTGCAGCTCTGCCAAGCTCCGTTTTTGCTCGCAGAGGGTTGCAGGAGGCTGTTGCAGCTGAAAACGGAGCTCAGGAGCCGATTTTCACTGGCAGAGCGCTCTGGCCACAGGTGCCCATGAGTGGCCAATTTGGCCATGCTTACCCTGGCCTCACCCACCCCGGCCCCTCGAGGTCAAACACAACCCTGATGTGGCCCTCAATGAAATTGAGTTTGATACCCCTATTGTAGTATGTCAGGTGTTTAAGAAGCTGAAAATGCTGCTGGTTCAAACAACGTTGTTAACAAATGTTATAACTGGTTCGATTTATAAGCCGCCCTTCTCCGGAGATTCAGGGCGGCTTACAATGCATTAAGCAACAGCCTTCATACTTTTATATATACCTGCTTAGTAGGGCTTTCGGCCTCCCCTAAGCGGTGTTCTTTTTTATACAAAGTCAGTTTATTGCCCCCCCAATCCGGGTCCTCATTTTACCTACCTCTTTTTTAAAAAAAATTTTTATTGAAAATTATTAAAAATTACAGAAAAAAATATAGCAATATGGATAGAATTGCAGAGAGTAATATAATACATATAGAGTTTTAAAAGCATCAATTTTCGCCTAGAGATAGTACAAACCTCCATTAAACCAAATCATCAAAAAAAGAAAAGATTATCCAGAAGAAAGAATTCTCAACTGCCATGCAATGCTCCTATAAATATTTACCCACATTCACACTAAGATTAATATTTTACATTCTTCTTAAGATTTCTTTTTTTGCAGACAAGCATATCACCTGTCCAACTCCTATATAACCTTGATTCTTGTCTATCTCGCAAAAGTCCGGTAAGCTTGTCTGCTTCTGCACAGTCCATGATCTTTGAGTTTAACGTAGCCTCCGATGGAATATTTTTGGATTTCCATTCTTGCACAAATGAGATCCTGGCTGCAATGATGATGTGGAGAGAGAGATACCAATTAGATTTGTTTAAGTTCTCTGGTTTCATGCCTAGTAAAAACGTTTCCGGGTTCAATTCTATCCTACATCCTATGATTTCTAAAATCCATTTTTGAATTCTAGCCCAATATTCTTTTGCTCGGGGACAGGTCCATCAGCTATGAAAATAAGTTCTCATAGCAGCGTTGCATTTCCAACAAACCGGAGAGGTTCCCGGGAACATTTTCGATAATCTAGCCGGAGGCAGGTACCATCTATACAGCATTTTGTATATAATTTCCTTATAGGAAACCCATTGTTAGTTTTAAGGTTTCCCCCCAAATTTCTTCCCATTTTTCAAGTTCAATCGAATATCCCAAATTTCTCCCCCAGGCAATCATTGAGTCCTTGATAACCTTCTCTCCAATCCAACCCATTAAGAGGAATTGATAGTTTGGATAATACCTTCTCATCCTTCCCCAAAAGATCTTATCAAGTTTGTAGGGAGTTATAGATTCCTCCCTTGTTTTTGTCCTGAGCTGTCCTGGATTGGATCTAACTCATAGCCTGATTCCACCAGCGTATTTTGAGATTTTACTTTGCCTAAAGGATCCAACAGAACTTGGTAAGTTAATGGTTTATTTCTGTTATAAAGGGTCGGGTATATCATCGCCTCTAGAGGGGAAAGCCAAATCGGAGTCATCAGGTAATATTTATTTCTTATTCGATCCCAAATAGTCATCAAAACCTTTTGGATGAAGTGGTCCATAAAATATTTATGTTTTTTGGGCCTTTCCTGACTCAGATAATAATGCCACCCCTGTTGCAAATTGTGGCCTTCCAAAATAAGGATTCTCCTCCTCCTCAAAGCAATCCAGTCTCTGATCCAATTTAAGACAGCTGCTTGATGGTAAAGCTCCCATTTAGGTAGGCCAAATGCTCCCCTGGAAGGGGATTCCTGAAGCATTTTCAATTTAATCCTTGGTTTTTTGTTCTGCCATACAAATCTACATATACATTGATCTAAAGATTGAAAAAAAATTGTATGTAATAAAACTGGGGCTGTCTGAAAAAGAAAAATCCATTTAGGCAAGATATACGTCTTAACTACTGCAATTCTACCTAATAATGATAACTGTAATCCTTTCCATCCTTCCAGCATTTCTTTAGTTTGACCAAATAGTTTCCGGTAGTTATCCTCTTTAATGGTCGTGCATTTGGATGAAAGCCAAATGCCTAAATATTTCAGTTTTTTAACTATCTGAATCCCTAGTTCTTCCTCTAACTGCACTTTTTGATTCTTTGTCATATTCTTAATTAGAATCTTGGCTTTATCTTTATTTAATTTCAATCCCGCTACTTTCCCGTAAGCCTGGACTCCTGGAGCAAGATTGGTCCTGATTCCAAAGATTCGTCCAAGACAAATATCAAATCGTCCACAAAGGCTTGGAGCTTAAACTCTCCCCCTCTGATCCTTAGCCCTCTAATTCCTTGGTTCCTTCTGACCTCATTCAATAATGACTCTAAGGTTAAGATAAATAAAAGTGGAGATAATGGGCATCCCTGTCTAGTACCTTTACTGATATAAATATTTTCAGACTCCTCCCCATTAATAAATATTTTCGCTGTCTGTTTCACATATACTGTCTGGATCTTTCCCTGAATTCCATTTTGCTCAACTGTGCAAAGAGAAAGTTCCAGCTCACTCTGTCAAAAGCTTTTTGTACATCCACGGAGACCAGGGCCACCTGTTTATCAGAATTACATTCATAATATTCTAATATATTCAATATAGTTCTCACATTATCTTTCAATTGTCTGTGAGGTAGGAAGTCATTCTGGTCTCCATGGATGTACTCATTCAAAAAAATTTTTAGTCTCTTCGCTAAAATCGTGGAGAATAATTTGTAATCGGAATTAAGCAGGGAGATCGGCCTGTAATTTTTAATCAGAAGCAGATAATTGCCTTCCTTTGGAATTAATGTAATATACGCTTCGGACCAGGAGGGTGGCGTTTGACCAAAGACCAGAACCTCATTAAACACTTCAGTCAAAATTTCCCCGAAAGTCTCAAGGAGGGCCTTATAAATTTCTATTGGAAGACCATCCGTATCTGGGGTCTTTCCCTTTTGTTCTCTTAATACTAACCTTACTTCCTTCAAGGTAATCTCTGCATTCAGTATTTCTTTCATTGGGAGTGGGACCTTCCGGGAATCAGCTCTAGCCAAATACTCTCTAATCTCCTGGTCCTGTTCGTCTCCAGCTGTATACAAGGCAGCAAAATATTCTTGTATTATTTTTCCTTTCCCTTCCTTAACCAAGACACATCTTCCCATTTGGTCTCTTAGACAAACTATCCTATTTCTCTCCTGTTGCTTCTTCAATCTATAGGTAAGCCATTTTCCCGCTTTATTTGCATGTTCAAAGTGCCTTTGTTTTGCCCATCTAATTTTAGTAGCCAATTCTTTCTGATCTAATAAATTTAACTGGTGCCAGGTTATTTTCTTCTCTTCAATTAGTTTTAAATCCCCTGGGTCTGCCTGCAACCTCGCTTCCACTTTCTCCAATTCATACATCAATTTACTCCGTTTCCATCTCTGGGTCTTCCCCTTTCCAATTATATGGGATGATACTACTTCCCTGATCACCGCCTTCGCCGTATCCCAGATAATCTGGGGACTTGTATCTTCCTTCCTATTGATCCTAAAGAAAAAAACCATCTCCTCCTTTAGCTTTTGAAGTAGGTCTTTGTCTTTTAATACTCCTACATCCATCTTCCATCTCTTTATTCTGCGGGCTCCTCTCCATAATATTTTCAACGTACTATGGTCTGCCCAGTCATTAACCTCAATTGCCACATCTAACACCTGGTCACATAACCCTACAGTCATCCAAGCCATATCTAATCTGGATCAGAAATGGTGTCTGGGGGAGAAATAAGTACCCTGTTTCTTTCCCGGGTTTCTGTCTCTCCATATATCTCTCAGCCCTGTTACCACTCTAATCTGTTTACAAATTTTTGGCAAAAGCTTTCTCCTCTTTTTCCCAGCTTTACCTCTCTCTGGTATATAATCCAAATTTGGGTCTACTACCACATTAAAGTCCCCGAGCAGACAAATATTGGCGTAGTTTACCTCTAATAGCTTCTGATATAATTTCCCGTAAAAGTTTACTTGGCATCCATTTGGGGCATAGATTCCAACCAACAAACATTTCCTTTGGTTCATTGTTACCTCTACCATTAGGACTCTACCTTTTTTCCCGGCATAAATTAATTTAGATTCTAAGTGTCCTTTTATATATATCACTACTCCCTTCTTTTTCTGATCCGCCAGGGAGGCATACAAATTTCCCAGTCTTTTATTCTCCAGTATCGCTTTCTGGTTTCCTTTTACATGAACCTCCTGCAAGCATATCATTTCATAAATTGCTTTTGCCAACCCGTTAAACACTCTCTTTCTCTTACATGGATTATTTAAACCATTAATATTAGCTGAAAATAAGGATACCCCCACCTCTCCCTTTACCATCCTCCTTACTACTTATTTATTGCTTGCTCTCTGTTTTCTTTCTAGTCTGTCGGGTTTTCCTCGGGGAAAGGGGTTCTTTCCTTCCTCCAGCTCCTTCCCTATCTTTCTCCCCTTCCCATCTGTTCGTTCCTTATGTTCTTCATCCTCCTGTAGGTCTTCTAAGCTTTCATTTTCCGCTTCCCCCTTGGTCTCCAAGTCATTCACCTTAAAATTTAGCTCATAAAAATCTCGTGCATCTCTCAAGTTCTCAATTTTAATCCTCTTGTCTCGCCAGGTTATCAATAAACCTTCCGGTATCAACCATCTATATAGAATTGCATTTTTCCTTAATTGCATCGTCAGAAATTGGTATCTTCGCCGCTGTTCTCTAACTTTCCTAGGGATTTGCTTTAAGATCATAATTTGTTGTCCTTTATATGATATCACCTGGTCCCTTGCTTTCCTATAAACCTCCTCCCGTATGTCCTTCTTACAAAATCGGATATGAATTTCTTGAGGCAAATTATATTGTTTTGCATATCCCGTAAATACCTTATAGGCCTCATCAATGTCTTTCATTATTAACGCCTTATCTTTTTCCAAGATTTCAGTTAAGATCCTTCCAACTACTTCTCTCACACATTCTTCTTTATCTTGAACCATGTTCTGCATTCATAGGAAAAAGGAGGAGCGTTCCATCTGTAAAATGATTATTTCTTCTTCCATAGTCCTCGTAGTTGCGGCCTGCTCACGTTCCAAGCCCGCCAAGCATTCTTCATATCTATTGGTATGGACTTCCACTTTGTGAAGTCTCCCCTCTTGTTTAACTATTACCTCTCGCACTTCTGTCAATTGTTCATTTAATACTTCAATGTCTCCCCGCACCGCTCCCATTTCACTTCTCAAATTCGTTGTTAAATCCTCAAAGTTCTTCATCATTACCTCTTACATCGTCTGCATCATTCCCTGTAGATCAGTGGTTCTCAACCTGTGGGTTGCGACCCCTTTGGGGATCAAACGACCCTTTCCCAGGAGTCGCCTAAAACCACCGGAAAACCAGTTCTGGGGCCCCACCCACCCCCGCGTTATCCCCAATCTATTGCTGCCTCCTGAATCCCAGCTGATGGCTAGAGGGAAAAAAAACTGTTTAAACTCTTGCTGCGGGGCTTCAAAGGGCCACCCTACAGCTGATCAGTGTTAAAAGAAAACAAATGAGTAGACCGGTGTCTGCAAAAATAAATGGGTAGACCCAGCGGTGGGATTCTACTTCGGTAGAACCGGTTGTTAAGTACTTAAGTAGTTAAGCCAGTGGTTCCCAAAGTGGGCGGTACCATGCCTTAGGGGGCGGTAAGAGGCAAGGGGGGCAGCAGGGGGGTGCTAGAGGCAAAAGGGGGCAACAGGGGGGTGCTAAGTGGCAAGGTGGGTGGCCCCCACCCTTTGGCCTGTGCCTCGCAGGTTACCTCCTTCCAAGTAAACAGCAAGAAAAAACAATTCCTTTCAGCTTCAGCATAGGCTAATTAGCTCATTGATTAGATCTGCCTCCCGACTCTCAGCTGATTTGCTCTCAGCTGTTTTGCGCTGGGCTCTGCAGCTTGCTGCAAAGAACTAAATTGCTGGAGCAGATTTTTTTTTCTCCTTATGCAAATTAAGCTGAAAACGAAACTGGAAGTAAAGCAGGCTTTGGCTGTTACGTTGGAAAATTAGACAGAGGCAGATTTATTTTCTTTTTCCTCATCAAAAAAATGTAGGTGCAAACAAAAGGAAATTTAGGGCAAAAGAGGAGAGTTCAAGATTTTAAAACACAAAAGAAAAAAAGCTCTATTTAACTAGAGAATTGTAATAATTGAAATAGTATTAATTGTATATTGTGTTGAAAGCAGAAATGGTTAAGTTGTGGTTTGGAGGAATATATGGGGGAAATTATTTGGTTTATTATTATTGGTAAATATAATTAATTGATTTGTAAGAAATTGGATGGCATGGAAATAATTGGAATATTCATGTTCATATTGATTAATATACAAAAAAGATAGTTATATAACTAATTGATTTATATTAAAATGTTGAATTTGTATTAAACAACTGTAATATTACATAATTAACCAATGTGAGGATGGATTTAAAAATAGATGACAATGGGAAGAGGTATAATATAGAATAGAAGGGAAAAATTGAATTTGATTAAGATTAGAGATGAGGATGAAGGGTAATATTGGTTTCTTAAAAAAATAGATGAGGAATAAATATGGCAAAAAGGAAATATAGAAATTGTAAATTTAATTGAAATGACTAAACACTGTTTAAATTTGTGAACTGGCCAAATACTCTGTTCAAAGAAAATACATTGTATGTTTGTACGTGTGTTTCTAATTATTGCTATTTATTCATATTTGTTCTCTTTTATTCTTTAAAGTTTAACAATTCATTCTTTATCTTAATATCTTTATATTTGTTTGGGGTTGCCTTTCTTCCCTTTCATCTTTTTTATTGTACAGCAATCTTTCTCCTCAAACCTACCACCTCTCTCTTTTCTTTCCTTCTTACTTTCTCTTCCCCCTCTTCTTCTCCTCCCTACTTCCTCTTCCTTTCTCCTTCTCCTCCTCTCTTCCTCCCTTTCTTACCCTCACTCTTACTCTAATTTCCTTTCCCTTCCTTCCTCCCTTCTCTTCCTTCCCTTTTCCATCTCTCTTCTCTTTCCTTCATCCCTCTCTATTGCTGTATTCATTTTCAATTTTATATTTTCCACTATGGAGTCCAGGCAACCCCGGTTTTCCTTTCATTTATCAAGTATATTTCTCAAAATTTCCCCTCATCTTTTTAATTATTAGCAGTATATTTCATTTTATTCCATTTTTCTATTGAACCCAGTGTAATCATTTTTATCTTTTTTTTCAATTATTTCCTTTTCAATATTTCCTTGTTTCTCTTGCTTCTCATTCATCTTTTCTCTTTCTTTTTTTGCAAGCTAACCAATTCTCTGCTTCTTTATTTCCCTTAAATGCCTCCCTTATTTTTTGGAACATCTCCCTTAGTGTCTCAAATTCATCCTCCCAATTCTTCATATTTTCAATTTTAAAAGGCTAGGATTTTTAAGCTTATTCTTTTCATTTACATATGTGGGGGGGGGATGATTTTCAAGGAGCCACAAGGAGGCTGAGAGCAGAGTCATTCTGACAGTGTCTTTTAAAATTGCTTGGAAGACCCATTTTTTCCCTAACAATAATGGTTTGTATACTTTGGAATAAAACATATACCTGGAAAAAGTACTTGCAAAACTTGGACAAAAGGAAAAGAAAGGCAAGACTGGACTCATTATCAGTAGCTAGTTAGTTCATTGTTATTAGTGACTCCCACTGATTCTAAACTCATTTTAAGACTGGGATTGGTGACTACTGAAATTTAAGTATTCACCATTGGTCTCAAAAATCTTTGATTAGTGAGGACCTGTCAGAAATCACTTTTTTCAGCCCTCTGGGTAGTCTTTTGTGCATATGGACTACTCAGAGGGCTGAAAAAGTTATTTTTGACTGGTCCTTGCACTTTTGACCAGTCCTCGAACTTACGACTGTCCTCACATTTTACGTTTTTCTCCCTATCTTGTCACCATGGTGAAGAGAAGCAGTTGTGAAATGAGTGACATGGTTGTTAAGAATGCTGCACGAGCATAAATGTGAGGATGGTCATAAGTGTGAGGACCAGTCAAAAGTGTGAGGACCTGTCAGAAATGACTTTTTTCAGCCCTCTGAATAGTCCCTATACACATAATCATGGCCACCCGGTCACATGACCAGCTAGCCATGCCCACAAAATAAGCCACGCCCACAGAACCGGTAGTAAAAATTTTTAGAATCCACCCTTGGTTGGGGGTCACCACAACACGAGGAACTGTATTAAAGGGTCAGGGCATTAGGAAGGTTGAGAACCACTGCTGTAGATTCTGTAGCGAGGGGGAATTCTCAATGTATTTGCATCTTCTATAGATTTAGATGACATTTGGAGCGATAATACCGGTGATGACGCCGAGGGGGGCAGTAAAGCTTTCTTGCTCCCTTTAGTAACCATTGTAGCCACTGCAATGGACATCTCTCCTTGAGGTCCTCCTTGATTTTTGTTTGGAGACCAAAATTTCTTCCAACCCAGCATACAAAGTTCTCTCCAATTTTTCAGCTTACTTTGTCTTTCTCTTCCTCAAATTCTCTATTTATCAATTAATTTAAATCAACCCAATATATACGATTAATATGCAATTTTTAGCTGATCTATTAAGTATAGAGATTATTTTCCACAATAACAATAGTAGATCAGTACCCTCTGTATATAGTGTAAATATACTATAAATCTGTTTAAGTTTCTATTCAGCCTAGTACATCACTCAGACCTGATCAGTTAATAAGGATTGGGGAAAGGAGGGAGAGTGCTGTCAAAAGATTAACCAAAAAGGAAAGGAAAAAGGAAAAAGGAAAGGGGGAGGACCAAATCTTTAAATTTTAGACTTCCTCCGAGTACACCCACGATATTCTTTTGGAGTTTCCAAATCTGCCATGGGTGGAGGCGCTGATCTTATATTGCTGACAGTTCCAGGCAAGGACGTTTCCAGTTACAAATATAGAGTATCAGAAAGCTAGTAATTCAGCTTGGTAAGGGAGATTATTAATAGTTTGTCCCAGATTTATAAGTATAATCCAATCAAGGAGATAACAGATACAAAAAAGAGAAAAATCACACCTCACTACCAGATCTTCCCCTATTAAGTAGGCAGATTTTTTCACTGTCCGGGTTACTCTCTCTCAGCCGCTGATCAAGTGAGGCTATTTCGCCTCACAGCTTGTCCTGGCAATTAGAGCTTCGCACTCTCTCTCTCCACACTCCTCACCTCCAAGTTCAGCATTGATCCACAACAAATCCAATAATCCAAGTTCTCCAGCTCTCTGCAATCGGCTTCCTATCCAACACGGTGAGTCATTCCTTCGGGGCTGCCATTCCTCAGTGCCCTCTCCTTGACTTCAGAGACCGAAAGAGGATCAAGCCTTCAGCACGCCGGATCACATCCACACGCGCCCTGCACTCCTCACTCTCCCCGCTCCCTCCGGGGGTGGTTTTGGCAGAAAAAAAAGCTGTCTGAATCAAGGAAAAGAAGATCAGATCGGGAGCTCTTTTCCTAACCTTCTTCTCGTTACGCTGACATCACCATTACTGTTTATCCAACTGGAGGTGCTATATATGTATATTCCAAAGTTGCCTAAATGACAAATTTAATAACAATTGTTGGCTTCCAGTATTTAATACTTGGCAATTGGTAAGCATGATAGTATAGCTCTAGATTTGGAAAACCAAATCTTCCTCATTTATTGGTAATTACATTTTCTGAAAATATTCTGAATATAAAATATTCTTGGCATCAAAGAACGCCATACAAATTTTCTAAACAAATAATCTGAAATGTCTTTGTATATTAATAGCTAAGGTTGGTAGTTATGTTGGTTGTTGATTTGACCCATGAGCTTGGTGATTTGGTTGCAAACATTTCATCTCCACTCGAGGAGACATCTTCAGTGCACTTTGGATTGTGCTTATCTGGGCGAGCACTGGCCTTTAAATATCTTTCTGAGTCCTGGTCTGATTTCGGCTTGTGTGATTGGCTGGCTGTAGTTGCTGAGTCAAAGTCCTTGTTTTAAGTACTGCTGTGTGATGTAAATTAGTGCTGCTGCTGTTCAGATGTCTTCTGATGATGCCCTTTTGAAGACAGAAACAAACCAAAGTTCAGGCATGCAGCAACTGTGAGAAGAAACAGAAAGAAAATAAAATCAACCAGACTGCACAAATACTTCCTGGCCATCAAGAGACATGACCTTTTATCCCTCATGTTCATTCATGAAGACTCAAAAGGACACAAATTCGATCTAACCGGGGCCACAGTTGTAACCCAGGCAAAGTCAAGGAAAGAAAGGGAATTCCTGGAAGCCTGGTTTTCCACCAATAAATCAATAACAGACAAACTGACATTGACCCAATCTACTAATCACTTAGAATGGAATAATAATATCAACCACAATCCCGAAGCCAGCATTTAAAGACCAACGAACAGCCATGCTGCAAACAAAATTATAATTTCACAGATCACAAGAAATCGGACCACATCATACACAGCCGATCAAATCAACCTGAAACCATACCATGTTATCATCAAAAGACATCCAAACAATAACCAGCACTAATTTATTATCACACAGATGGTACTTAAAACAAGGACTATGACTCAGCAATTACAGCCAGCCAATCATACAACCCAAAATCTGACCAGGACTCAGAAAGATATTTAAAGGCAGTGCTCCCCCAGACAAGCACAATCCAAAGTGCACTGAAGATGTCTCCTGAATGGGGATGAAATATTTGCAACCAAATCGCCAAGCTCGGGGATCAAACCAACAACATAAGCAAAGAATTTATTTTCTGAAAATATTTCAGAACTGGAATTCCTTTCAAAATATAAATTAATCTGGGAATAATATTCATTTTGAGGTCATTCAGGTATCCCCAAACCGTGAGATTTAATGACTCCCATTTATCGCTATTTGAAGAAATCTCAAAGGATGTATTTCTTTGGGTAGTCCAAATAATGATACTGCCTTCTGTTTTTTTTCTTTTCTTAGTACAATTCTTTTTTGTACAGTAAGTTGGTTAAATTAAAGTTATTTTTATTAACAGAAAAGTTACATGAAGCATTTGTACAAATAAACTTCTTTGTGCTATAATTCCCTTAATAAAAAAGTTTCTATTTCAAAACTTAAACTTTGAAACCAAAACTTTGGTTTTCAGAGTAATGCAAACATACTATATTATACCAACTTTTAATAGTTAAGTTACAGTTCAGTATCTAATTATCTGGCAGTAAATCTTGCAATCTCATTTTTGTGCATCTGTATTTGACTGTTTATTAAGAGTTACTTATTTGTCCGATAAAGCATTAAATTAACGCAAATCTACAATGAAATCTGCTTGCTTTTAATGTAGTGTTTATTGGCAAAATCCCAGCGAAATATAGGGCATCCGATTTCAGTCCATTTAAAATCCAATATTTATAAATTGTTACAGAGATTATAGGCATTTGTAAATCTTGCTTCTAATCTCTGTAACAACCAATCCGTGCTCTTTTAAACATCCTAATTTCTATTCAGTCACTGATGTTCACTTACCTACTCCGGATTCCGTTGGAAAGATGCAAGCCTCCACCTTGGAGCGCTTTCTGTATATTTTCACAGCACAATTCTTTCCAAGCCTTTTCCCCGTTGTCTTGCCTGTTGTCAATCGAGAAATGCTCACACCTTCAACCTGGTGACATTTATCTGCACAAACAAGAGGAGAGGGTCTCTCCACTCGTTCCCATTGTCTGACACGACCGAACTGGGAGCCGTAGCACAGCTCTGACGGAAAGCCGGCGTACGAAGTGCCGAAGGATTGGCCGGCGACAGTCACATGACAGATGCTAGGCAACATGAACTATTGGCTTTCTGGGTTGCTGGCAGCTCGGAAGGTGTCGCGAGTTGTCCGCCTATGTAGGTGAAGGAATCCCGGTTTATTCTCAGCAGTCTGGGAAAGCTCTGGGCGGCATTTCAGCGGAGGTAAGCCAAATAGTCCAGTCATGAAAATATCCTTAAGGATCTCTCTCTCTCTCTCTCTCTCTCTCGCACATGCGTGCACACACGCACCACTATCTTTGAAGCCTGTTGCCCGTGAATCTCTCCGGCAAATCTCCGCTTATAACACTCCAAATGTAGCGCGGTCTACAGCGGACAGCAACTCATTTATTCGGCGGTGCCCTTCGGATTGATAGAATTGATGGCATTTTACTGACCGGATGCAGGTTTTCTTACAGATTTCAATATCAGATTGACTATGCAGTGTATTGGAAATAGTAGTCAGGATAGAGAAGATTGACTTCTCCTCCTCTCAAGAAATGGCTACTATTCCAATATTACAGTACACTATAATATTTATTTATATGGAGGTGGGGTAGAGGTAGAGGTGAAAATTTATCTGGGAATAGATGTTTGTGACAGGTACATAGTTAAGTAAGGAAGGGATTTTTCAGTACTAGTTCATGGATTAGTATTATTTGCTCCCTAGTGTTTCTTATATGCTTAACATGCTACAATAGGAAACACATATTGTATCTGGAGCATCATTCATTCTTCCCAGAAATGATACCATATGATCATTGTCATTTGCACAAGTGTTTCTATGACTGATTTCAAAGTTATCTGGAATGTGTAGATACTAAGCTAATTATGGTAAGCTTAGTCTGCCATAGTTAAGCTTTCAAGGATTCTTTAGACGCCAAGAATTCTATTGGAAATTTTTAGGATTCAATAACTCAGGGATTTTGTAATCCTGTTAAGCAGTAGAGACCTTACTTCAGTGGTGAAATGTAAAATTTGTTACTACCAGTTCTGTGGGTGTGGCTTGATGGGGGGGGTTAATGTGACGGTGGGCATGGCCAACTTTTTTAAAAAAAACTTAAAAGCATTTTTTCTACAACCTTAAGAGGTTGCAGAAAAAAATGCTTTTAAAAATAAAAAGTCGCACAGCTCAGCTGGGCATGGGGGGGGCAGGGATTTTTGCTACCGGTTCTCCGAACCACTCGCCGCCATCACTACCGGATTGGGCAATCAGGTCCGAACCGGGAGCATTTCACCCCTGCCTTACTTCACATTTGTATATTAAAGTTTTGAGCTATAGGCCAGATACCAAGAATATATAGTTTGTTTCAAGAGAAGAGAGAATAAATAAATAAATAAATAAAAAGATTACTGAAGAAAATCCTATTAATTTATTACAATCAAATTCATAAATCATAAAGCAGTTAAAGGTGTGACATTAAAATATGTTTTAATGCAATACTAAATTAAATTAAGTTAAATTAATACAATTATTCTCTCTCCCCCCCTCTCTCTCTTAGAAGCCTCCCCTATCCTATCTCCTGCTTGCTGCTGTGAAAGTAAAACTGAAATTGAAACTCTTCTCCTCTGCTTGTGTTTTGCATTTGAAACATATTTCTTTTCAGGTGTGGAGGGGGAGTAGAACTCCTTAGTATCGGAGCATGTTAATAATAATATAGGAAACACTAATGCTCTGATGGTCATTTTGAAAAATCCTTTCTTAGTAAGCACCTAGAAGCCAAGAGGAACATATGTGGCAAATTTCAAGTTTGTAGGATTTATAATTCTGTAGATTTTGTGATGATGCGTGAGTGGTATTTCGCTTTTATATATGTATGTATGTATGTATGTATGTATGTATGTATGTATGTGTGTCAGGGTATGTAGATTTAATAGCTGTAAGCTAATGAGAGGTTGTAAGCAGAGGCAACCGGAAGCTGATGCAGTGGGAATGAGGCAACAGGGTTATTGCCACTTTAAGAAGCTGGGTAAGAAGCTGCCTATATAAGGGAAGCCATTGAGCCACCCTGAGTCTCCGGAGAGGGGTGGCATATAAATTTAATAAATAAATAAATTAGTGGGCATTTCCCTTCTCCTCATGTTCTCTCACATTGTGTCTCTCATTGCTCGCCTTGTGTCAGCAGCTGTATGATAAGGTATTTACCACATATAAGTCTATATATATATTTAGCTGTAGATAAAACCGCTGTTAATTATCTAAAGGCTCTGTGTGCTGTGTTTTGCTACTGGGTTTATCTCATAATACTAGTCATGTTGGCTAAATTCTGACTCTCTCTCTCCCTCTCTCTCTCCCTCTCTCTCTCTCTCTCTCTCTCTCTCTCTCTCTCTCTATATATATATATATATATATATATATATATATATATGTAGGTCTTTGGTTATTCGGGTTTTCTCCCGCGTAGAATTGGAAGTGTCTTGGCGACATTTTGACGAAGTCTCATTCGTCATCTTCAGGCTGGTGTTTTCGGCTTTGTGCTTCTAGGAGCAATGTGTGATCGCAGCTGTTTCTTCCTTTAACTGCCAGTGGGGGTGTGAACTGATTGGGTGGGAGCTTGGCTGTGTTCCCATACAAACACCCGCGAAAACCTATATAAAGCCAAACAACAGCAACACAGCTCACCAGCTGAAATCCCCCTGCAACTCAGACTAACCCGAGCACAACCAAGCCCCCACCTAAACAGAACACCCCCCCATCCAATCAGAGCACAGCCAAACCCCCAACCAATCAGAACACACCTCCACCCAACCAGAACACAGCCTTACACAGCCACAAAAAGCCCAAAAACCCAACTTACACACAAAATTCCACATACAGCTTTGTGAGATTTTGTGTGTTTGTGTAGTTAGAGTGAAACACTACAGAAACACACTAAATCTCAGAAAGCTGCACAAATATTATTTTATTTTATTTTATTTTTATTTTTATATGAAAGCTAAATTTAAAACTTCCTAAACTTTAAATGGCTAGGTCTAAAAAAGAACAACTAAAAAAAACCCCAATTAACTATTTTTTTTTAAAGATCCCAAAGGGGAAAAAAAATTACCCAATAGAACAGGGGTCTCCAACCTTGGCAACTTTAAGACTTGTAGACTTCAACTCCCAGAATTCCTCAGCCAGCTTTGTTTTGTTGCAGGCAGGGAGTTGCTTGCTGATGGAATGGATTCAGGCAAGCGAAGCAAGGCAAGCAGCTAAGGCAGTGGTTCTCAACCTTCCTAATGCCACGACCCTTTAATACAGTTCCTCATGTTGTGGTGACCCCCAACGATAAAGTTATTCCTAAAACCATCAAAAATATGTGTTTTCCGATGGTCTTGGGCCAGGGGTCCCCAACCTTTTGGACCTCAGGGACCACCAACTTCATAATTTTAAATTTCGCGGACCACTAATACGAATCCAGTGCGCCACTTGCTGTAGCACCTGGATTCCCAGTACGGGATGGGGTCCTTCAGGCATTCTCCTTCTTCTCTGTCTCTCTCTCTCTGTCTCCCACTCTTTCTCTCTCATTCTCTCTCTCTCTCTCTCCCTCTCCCCCCCCCCTCTCTCTCTCTCTCTCTCTCTCTCTCTCTCATTTTCGCTTTCTCTCTCTCTCTCCCTCTCTTTCTTTCTCTCCCACTCTTTCTCATTCTCTTTTTCTCTCCCCCCTCTCTCCCCCTCTCTCATTCTCTTTCTCTCTCCCCCTCTCTTTCTCATTCTTTCTTTCCCCCACTCTTTCTCTTTCTCTCCCCCTCTCTCTCATCCTCTTTCTCCCCCCTCTTTCTCTCTCTCTTTCTCACATTCTCTCTTTCTCTCTTTCTCTCTCCCCCTCTATCTCTCTCCCCCCACTCACTCTCATTCTCTCTTTCTCTCTGTCCCCCTTTCTCTCTCCCCCCCACTCTTTCTCCCTTTCTCTTTCTCTCTCCCCCTCTTTCTTTTTCTCTCTCTCCCACTCTTTCTCTCTCATTCTCTCTTTCTCTCCCCCTCTTTCTCTCTCTCTCCCCACTCTCTCCCTCTCATTCTGATTCTCTCATTCTGATTCTCTTTCATTTTCTCTCTTTCTCTCTCATTCTCTCTCTGATTCTTTGATTCTCTTTCATTCTTTGTCTCTTTCTCTCTCTGTCTCATTCTGATTCTCTCTCTTTCTCTCTCTCTCTCATCTCATGGGCCAGCCAGTGTCTTGGGGCTGAGAGGAAGTCAAGCATCTCCCTGAGAAACTGAGGGCCGGAAGAAGTGTGGGAGCAAAGCATTACTTGAACTTGTGTGGCATGAGCATTCGCCTTGGTATATTTGCGCCAGCCGATGGCCAAGGCAGCCCTCATCTCTCTGCTGAAAGTGCAGCATCAGGATTCTGCCTTGGTATATTTGCGGCGCAAGGCAGCCCTCATCTCCTGATGCTTGGGACTCGGAGCAGTAAATGGTGACTGGTCCGGGGAGCAGCTGGATTTTGCTGTCCATTGCAGACGCCAGATCAGCCCCCTGCAAGATCTCATCTTTCGAGGAGCGCTCCCTGAAGTGGCACTGGAAACTTTGGTCGGGCTCCTCGAGAGACGAGAGTATGCAGGGGGCCGATCTGGCATCCGGATTAGAGAGCAAAATCCAGCTGCTCTCCGGATCAGACGCCATTTACCACTCTGAGTCCCAGGCAGCAGGAGAGGAGGGCTGCCTTGCGCCACTGGCTGGCATAAATATACTAAGGCGGAATGCTGTTGCCGTACAAATGAAAGTAGTGCTTCACTCCAACAGCTTCCAGCCATCGCAAACTCCGCTTCTTCCCGCTTCTGCCACCCCCTCCCCCACCGCCACAACAGCACCATTCATTCCGGATGGCGAGGGCTGCGCTCATTTTTCTGTAATCCACCACCTGCAAAACCCCTGTGAAAGGGTTGTTTGACCCCCAACCACTGAGCTAAGGTAAGCAAGCTGGAGGGGGAAAATTTTTTCCCTTCTCCATGGCTCTGGCGATCCCAGCTGAGTTGCCTGATTAGCAGATTGTCAGAGCTTGGATCGCCAGAGCCATTTAAGACTCGTCAGAGCCTTTCGGGCTGGTCTGCCTGGTTACAGG